CCTTCAGCTGGTGCGGTATTTAACGACTTGAATCGAGCGGGATTTTCACACGGGGATGGGCAACTATCGCGTATCCGAGATGGCGCCGAATAGCAGAGGTATGGGGGACGACTGTAGAAGCGACGAGAGCAGTGATTCGGGGTGGATTTGGCTACATGTAATCATTTTGAGTATATTTTTTTATTTGGTTTTGTCTGTTCCCCTTGGTTCTAGCTCACAGGTCAACAATCTTGTAGTTTGAGAAATATTTCTTCAGTCATCTGTTCTGCTGAATGGATGTGCAAACATCCTGTGGTGTTTAACACTTGAATCTCTATGCATTTGCATCGATGCTTTTTCCATATATTAGATAAATTGTGAATACAAAATTGATTTCTGTCTATTTGATTTAATAACTATGGGAGGGGACCCTTCTTTTGTTCAGACACTAAATACATTCATGTAGCACTGCTCTTGGAATGACTTTGAACCTGACAATGTTAGGACATATAATGAGATAATGAACACAAATGATCATGTTAGACCGGTCAAGGAGGGACCAGCCTCAAGACGGACATGTTTTGCTTGTTACAGAAGGCGGACAGTTTCTGCTTCCAAACCGTGGGTCCAGCAGCCATCTTTTTAGGAAGGAATTAGGGTGGTTTAGGAGGAAAATTCAAAAGAGGGTCTGTTTAGATATTTCCTTTATTATTGTATGCTTTAAGTAGTATGTTTTCCTAGGGTTAGGTTAGAAAGAGTTTTCCTGAATTTAGTTTGTTCTTAGGGAGTTTTGGGCTCTAGCCGGCGGCTAGAGATTGGGAGAGCCGGATCCTCCTCTCCAATTGAGGATCCATTGTATCTTGTTGTTTTTCTTTCACTATTATCAATTAAAAAGTTTATTTTTGGTTATTCTTTCAAATTCTTCTCAATCCTATTTTTGCGAAGTGCTGAAATTCAGATTCAGCCAAAGAAACTCTTGGTTCTTATAAGCATTTCCTATCGGATCATTTGCACTAGTTGGCTGGTGTTGACCTAATGTAATAAAAAAAGAAAAAAAAAAGAAAAAAAATCCTATTCCCTGTATGATCTCCTCTTCCTTGTCGAATCCCATGTGCAAACCATGGCCTCCATACCCTCACATGTCATCCATGAGCTCACTCAAATTGTGCCGATGTCTGTCGTCTCTCCCATGCTCACTCGCACTCTCCTCCTCACTCTCTTGCTCTCTTCGCTCCTCTTTGAATTCTCGAAATCCTCAATTAGCGGAGTCATGTAGGGAGCTTGCTTAAGATGGCACTTGCAGTACCTGCAATGAGGAAGCCAAGAAGTCTTGTACAGAGCTCACTGAAGAAGACATCAATCTTATGGGTTCTCAAATTGAGGAATTCATGTTGGAGTTCATTGGGAGATGGCATCTTCATGACAAGTGATAGAGAAGGAGAAGAGTTTGGGGACTTGTGTATTTGAGTCTACTGTCGCTTGAACCTTGCTGGTAGTGTTAGACTGCTAGCCGCCTCTCTCTTTCTCCTTCTCATTTCTCATTATCTCTATCCCTCTCTCTTTTTCCTCTCTTTATATTCTCTCTTTCTCTTTCTCCCTTCCTTTCTCTTTCCCTCTCATTCTTCCTCCCTCTCTATCTTTTTCTCCCGCTTTCCTTCTCTCTCCCTCTTCCTCCATCTTTGTCTCTCTTCCCCCATCTTTCTTTTTTATTCTCTCTCTCTTTATGTCTCCCATTTTCTCCATCCGTTTTCTCCCTAAAAAGAGAGGAAAAAAGGGAAAATAAAAGAAAAGAAAGAAAAAAGTTGAGCAAAGAAAGGGTTTTGGTGCGCTTGCCTCGCCGTCATCGACCCCTCACATGAAGGCATAAATTTATGAATTCTCAGAACTCTCAAATTCTTGAATGCCATACGGCATACGCTAAGTACTTAGCTTGTGATAGCTTATCTTGATCGAGAGTTCTCTCGTATCATTGAGAGGTGTAACTAACCATAAGGATTTACGCCTATAGAAAACATGAATTTAGATCATACATCATACGGTCCTCGTAAAAATGAGGGCAAAATTATAGTGTCGTATCTGCAATCTAATTTGCTCAATAAAAATTTAACTCAGAACCATCAAAACTCTCTTAGCAGAGGCTGGAACGTGAATTTTCGAAGCTCCTAGTAGATCGCAATAAATTGATGCCTAAGAGTTTTGATTTGAGTTGCTAATAAAATTTTTGCCGGCTCTGAAGATCTTGATCATCTGTTAGATAATTTGTAATCTTTGATATCGGGCTAAAAGTATGTGTAATTCCATTGCAGGTATAATGTAGCAATCAAATGTGCAACAATTACTCCAGGTAAGGTTAAATTGGGAAAGTTATAAATTTACTGGGCTATTTTCTCAGAATTTGTGGTAATACTGTGGTAATAGAGTATTTATTTAAAATTTTATTTAATGTTACTTAACCTTTCGGGATTATGGGATGACAGATGAAACTAGAGTCAAAGAATTCAACTTGAAGGCCATGTGGAAGAGTCCAAATGGAACTATTAGAAACATTTTGAATGGTCAGATAATGTGACATGGTTGAAGTTTAGAGGTCACTCGGGCATTAATATCTTGCTTATTTTGATGCTGTGTATGCCTTTTACACAGGCACGGTGTTCAGAGAGCCAATCTTATGCAAGAATGTTCCGAGGCTTATTTCAGGTTCTTATGAACGGCATCAAATTCTGTAACTGTAAAATTTGATTTGTTATCCCTTCTTGCTACGGTATTTTTTTTCAGGGTGGACAAAACCCATATGTGTTGGAAGACATGCTTTTGGTGATCAGTACAGAGCTACTGATATGGTTGTAAAAGGGCCAGGGAAGCTTAGAATAGTATTTGGTAGGCCTCCAGCAGTTATGGCATAATTATGTGTTATGTAGAACCAAAAAAATGATCACTTTAGTCTTTCTTACTCAATTTAATTGAAGAAATGCAGTAGTGTTTGATGTATTGTACTTGCATTTGTAGAAGGAAAAGATGAAAATGTTGATTTAGAGGTCTTCAATTTCACTGGGGAAGGTGGTGTAGCATTGTCTATGTTCAATACTGATGAGGTTCATAACTTGCAGCTTTATGTTACTTGCGTGAAAGTTTTTTTTTTTCTTTTTTGATTTAAAGTACCATGCTAACCATCTTTCCATGATTTCCTGTAAACAGTCCATCCGTGCCTTCGCTGAGTCTTCAATGAACACTGCCTATCAAAAAAAGTGGCCACTATATCTTAGCACCAAAAATACAATTCTGAAGAAGTATGATGGAAGGTATGATGCAATTTCAGGATCAAGTTTGCGTTTTTCTCTATGTAGTCATAAGGAGTTACAGTTTTGCTGCAGCCTTCCCTGCTAATTTTTGGTTACTTGCTGGATGTGATTATTTAGATTCAAGGACATATTCGAGGAGGTCTATGAATCTAAGTGGAAATCCCAATTTGATGCTTCTGGCATCTGGTGAGTTTGTTTCAGGCATCAATGAAAGTTGCAGTGAGAATGCAACTGTTATCTTATGTTTGTTATTGGTGACAGGTATGAACACCGTTTGATCGATGATATGGTTGCCTATGCGGTTAAGAGTGAAGGTGGTTATGTGTGGGCTTGCAAGAACTATGATGGCGATGTGCAGAGTGACTTCCTAGCTCAGGGTCTGAATATGTTTCAATCTTTTCCATCAAGACTTTATTTGTTGAATATTTTGCCAAAACCCAAAGGATTTCACTATAAACAATCTGTTCCCCATGAAAGCCATTTGCTCTACTTGAACCATTTCTTCTTCTTTTCTTTTGGACTCTACAGGGTTTGGTTCCCTTGGTCTGATGACATCAGTATTGGTAAGTATATCTTATGAAATTCAGATTTTCTTAATTGTGTTATACTATGGCAAAATAAGTGGTGGATACCTTCTAATTCTAACTTAGGCATTTGGGATAATATTCGGTTAGAGAATTGGCAGGTGCTTTGCATAGAAATGAGTTGATAGATGCTTCTAACAGGGTTTAATCATGTGTTTATTAACTTATGCCCCTAATTCAAAAACATGCATGTGGAAATGAAAAATCCGCTGAATTGAGCATTTTATATTCAGCTTTGTACCACTGACCTGAAATTGTGACGAGGCTGTTGTGGTGGTGATGAAGATGATAATAATGATCATAATTTAATTTGTTAGACCATGCATGCTCCATGGTTGAAGGACTCAACCGGAAGAAATGATAATATATATGCCTAATTAGCTATTCAATCAAATAACACTCTTCATATGAGCGAAATTCCCAAAATTCTTATATTTTGCACAGTTTCTATTCTTATAATACTTGTGGGGAATTCTTTTGTTCCAGGTCTGCCCTGATGGAAAGACAATTGAAGCTGAGGCAGCACATGGCACTGTTACCCGCCACTATCGTGTTCACCAGAAAGGAGGTGAAACTAGTACAAACAGCATTGCCTCAATTTTTGCATGGACACGAGGATTAGCTCACAGGTAAACCAATATTTTGTATATTTGCTTCTTATCTATTTTTATTGGATAGAACATAAAAATTGTAACATAAGAGAAGAACAAAGCAAAAATTTTCAGCAGAGGAGTTGTGATAAACTAGTGTTAAATTTAGAGAATTGGACTGAGAAAAAGAATAATTTTATTATACAAAATTATTCCTATTTATAGATTTATGCAGGATATCTTAATAAAGAACCAAATAATTATAGAATAATGCATAATTGTCCTAATATAATCCTTCCTAAATCTGCCACCCGAATATGGATGGAGATCGACATGATCCAAGTGAGCCTCCTATGGATTCTCATGCTTACCGTGGGATCAAGGGATAAGGGATGACTGGGATTTAACACTCCTTAAGCTAGAGAATATAAATATATCATTCCCAGATTTGTAATTAGTCTCATAAAGGTAGAGTTATTTAGTTTCTTGTTTCACCATAGAGTTAGGGGTGTCAATATTGGACACGACCCGAAAACCCGACCTGAACACAACACAGAAATTTTGGGTTCGGGTTGACCTGAACCCGAATCGGGTCGGGTTTGGGTTGACCCGGAAACCCGGAAATGACTCGGATTGACCCGCTGACCGAGGTGCCCTGGTGACCACCGCTACCCGTGGCCAATCCAACGTAGTCGCGTGACCCTCCTGGCGCTTGCCTGCTGACCAAGGCCTGCCCGCCACTGCCCTGTTGTGGCGCTGTGACCCGAGTTTTGCCGTTTGTGTGAGTGCGTGACCGCGTGGCGTTGTGTCCCGAGGTCCGCCATCCACATGACTGTGTCCAGGCCTGCGTGCGGGCTAGCTGGGCTAGCCAGCTTGTCGCGTCCAACCATCCAGGTTCGCGCCCAGCCATCTAGGTCCGCGTGCCCGTGTTCCCGCGTCCATCCATCCAGGGCCGCGTGCCCGTGTCCAGCCATCCAGGTCTACACCCGCGTGCCCGCGCCCATGTCCGGCACCCGGTTTCGGGTCGTGTCGGGTTGACTTGAACCCGAAGCAGGTCGGGTTCGGGTCCTAAAAACCGACCGTTTGTAAAAACGGGTCGGGTTCGGGTTGACCCGAACAGTTTCGAGTTCGACCTGAACCTGACCCGTGACCCGAAATTGACACCCCTTCATAGAGTCCTTCATTTGGTCAAAGCTTTGGGAGGAAGGAATTAGCTTCAACATTGTCGCGACAAAGGATAGTGATGAAAGCTATCTCAATCTAGCCTGCAAGGTGCAGGGAAGCAATGAAGGATGAGATCACTAGTATTCTAAGGATGAGGGAACCATCTGATCGGGTTTACCTTCATCCTTCACAAACACCTTCCATTAATTCAAACAAATATCAAAATATTAAGCTTAAATTCTTAAAATTAAAATTGTATCAAAGTAATCATCAATAATCAAGAGTGTTCCCTCTCGAGTGGGAGGGATAATTAACTATGAGGGCTTGCGATCATAGAAAGTTTATTCCTTAGATCTAAATAAACCTTGATATAAAAATAAGGTGAAATCAAATTAATTAAAATTTAATCTACCACATGAAGAATGGAATCCTAGCTCAATGTGCGGGTTCAGGTGCATTTTTTCTTAGTGGATATATTTCTTGGGGGACATGGAAGCGCAATCAAGATTCTATGAAAAATTTGAAAAAAAAAATGTTTGAACAAAAAAAGAACATAATGCAACTCTGATAAAAAAGTTTATAGATAAGAAAAAAAAAACGAAAAATATCTCATTAAATGTCAAGGTGACTTTGTTGTGATTCATATGCATCTCGAATGTTTTGTGCAAGTTAGACATAAGACATTATTGCAAGGATCTGCAGTCTTTTTAATAAGTAGGAAAAATAGTTCAAATTTTTATGTTTTTGATTTGACTCATTATATATTTATTAGTCTTATTTTAACAATGAGGATATATTGCCTTGTTGAGGAACATTGAAACTTATTCAATTGTCTATTTTTTTGAGGAACATGAAATTTTAATTCTTTAGAGGATAGTTTTTTTGTATCCTAGGGGTTTGTTGCAATGCAAGCCAACAATCAGGTCGAATTGCCCAGCACTGGCTAGTTTGACCTTAGTCAGTTATAATTGGTCAAATTAGGCCACAAAATAGTTGAATTGGCTTATTTTCATTCCTTCTTATGCTCATTTTTATTTTGTGCAATTTTTATATTTTTATTTGATTTATTTTATTTGGGTTAATTCTCATCTTCAGAAATATTAGAGGTTTAATTTGAATTTTTATTAGGATTAGATTTAATTTCAAATGGATTTGTGTTTGAATTCAAATTATTTGGATTGATCCTTGGAATCCTATTTGTAATCCTATTTCTATAAATAGTAGTATTTAGAATTTAGGTGAGGGACATCCTTTTGATTCAGCTCCTTAAGCTGATGATTACTTGATGATTCATTTGAACACAAATCCGATTTATAGTAAAATCCCGTTAAGTCTAATGTCTTAATCCTGATTTGTAACTGCTACCCCCAATAGTATTGGATATCAATCTGAACTGAAGAAAATGAAGTCTATTTTCTTACTTTGTTTGACGTGCAAGAGATAAGTGAACAACTGGTTTTTGCTCTTCATGATGTAACAGGGCCAAGTTGGATGATAATGCTCGATTGCTTGATTTCACTGAAAAGCTTGAAGCTGCCTGCGTTGGAACCGTGGAGTCTGGAAAGATGACCAAAGATCTTGCGCTGATTGTCCATGGACCCAAGTAATGTTCACTTTCATTGGCTTATGGTTTTTAATGTTATTTAATCGTATAGCCCATTTGAACTGAAACACGAGCAATATTTGCTTCAGGGTGACCAGAGATCTGTATTTGAATACAGAGGAGTTCATTGATGCAGTATCTGAAGAGCTGGAGGCAAGACTATCTACTTAGATTTTGTTTGGAACGACTTTTTTACTATTTCCTAAAATAATTTTTTAGTACAAAAATTAAAATTTTTATCTTAAAAATTTACTTTAAGAAACAATAAAAAAAGCTGTTCCAAACGGAGCCTAAATCAAAATTAGGTGCTGAACACTGCAAAACGTATTTTTTTGGCCATATGGTACATGCAAGGCTTGTGAGTGCTTTCATTCCAACTAAAAATTTTGACATCTAAGATAAATTTTGATTTCCTTCACCACTGCAACGTTTTATTCATATGCTCTTTTTTTTTAGAGAACATACTGGATGAGCAGTTGATGGGAATCAGTGAGAATTCTCTGTTTATTTAGGTTCTGTTTAATAGTATTTGTTTGGTAGTCATTTGGATTGTTTATTAAAGTGTTTCTGTCTGAAGTGTTCATATAAAGACAATGAAATTTGGATGGTTTATTACGTCTGGAGACCGGACAGGCGGACATAGAGAATTATCTGATTTTATCTCTGTGAATAGTAAAAACATAATTATTGTTCATCATTGTGCTTTTATTATTCACCGTTGTACTTTTACTGTTCACAGAGACAACCAGACGGTTCTTTGTATCCGATCTCCGCACGTAATAATTTCTCTCTATTTTTTGGGAGTGCTAAAGATGATTATAAATTATTATGTGAATAGAATATTTTGGAAGTTGTTATAAAAATCAGCTTTCTAAACAAGGGCCTTATGCTGGATTCTGAATGTATTCGGAGATAAATTCAGATGCGTCACGTCATCGGATGCATTGAGCCCCAGTGATGTGGCATGCCCAGATTTGCATCCGAACACGTTCGGATTCCGCAAAAAATAATTTTCCCTTATGCTGAGTATAAGATAACAAATTATCAATTTTCTTTCTATAGGCACTATCAATGAAAATATACTCATACTCACATAGTAACATGGCTATTTTGAGATTTAAATTTATAAATTATATTTAAAAATTTATTCATATTTAAGTTTTATAAATAAATTTGAATAAGTCAATACAAAGATTTTGTTCGAAACAACTTAAAAAGGGAAAACGAATTGTATCAGAAGAACCTCATATAAATATACATCAAAATAACTATTTTGTACTACAAAACCTCTCAAAATAATTACTTTTATAGAGACAATTTGATAATCTTCTAATATACATAAAATGCTTTGGTGTTTTAAGTAAATGTGTTCCACATTTCTCAATGAGGGGCTTTTGATACAAAAATTTCTTTATATGAAGGAGGCAGCAGAAAAGAGAAAAAATCTAGCCTGTTCCAGCGTTAAAATCCTGGAACCAGCTCTACTGTCTGCAATAGTTGCTTACCTCAAGCTGCTGAAACTTTTTGCACCTCGAGAAAACTATTGCAGACCAGTTAGAATCCATGAAACCAAAAGCAACGCAGACAAGAAAACAAGAGCCAAGAACCCCGGCTTCGTCAAGCAACGCAGGGAAGAAAACAAGAGCCAAGAACTCCGGCTTCGTTTGGGATAACTTTCTTACTATTTCTTAAAGCAATTTTTTAGTACAAAATTTTATTTTGTTACTAAAAAGCTGATTTAAGAAACAATAAAAAAGCCGTCCCAAGCAAATCCTCAAGGGAGCGTAGTTAGATATGAACATCATTTCCATTTTCATTATAATGTCCATTGGACAAGCGTTTTGCATGTCTATTCTGGTAAGAGATTGCTAGGGAACTACTACTGCTTGTAGAGATTTCTGGTGGCAGCAAATTGATTTGTCCATCAGCTTTAAGAAAGGCATCCAGTTGTCCAGAAGATGCAGCTATTAGACCTAGGAAATATTCAAGCAAGGCTTCTGATGAGTTAGCCCAATGCTAAAGCTTTGAAAACTAGAATAAGAGCTTCAGAGTATGGCTTCGTTTGTGACGACTTTTTTACTGCTTTGTAAAGCAGTTTTTTAGTAAAAAATTTTATTTTTTGTGCTAGAAAACTACTTTATGCTGCAGTAACAAAGCCGTCCCAAATGAAGTCTATATCAACTGAATTTGTTTAGGCAAAAAGATGGAAAAGAAAAAAAGTAGAGAGAAGGACGTGGTGTCTTATGATAACAATTAAACCGTCTTTCTTGGTGTGACAATAATGTCTAGCACTAGCAATGACACCATTTACATTGAAAAGACATCAAAATGCTACTAAAATTTACATGAATAGAGGAGCCAAATAGGACAAATAAGATGAAGTTGTGAACACAAATTTGAAGATTAAATTGATATTAAGTTAAATACGAAAACACGAGAATGATAAAATGAGAATAAATTATAAGAAAATGAGAACAAAATTGAATTGAACAAAAGACTCATAGGGTATTTGTAATGAATTTAATAGCTCGCCAACGAGCACAAATCAAACCTCCCTTCATAGTTTAACTATCTAAACCATAAATTCGAGCTCAATGACTTAGAGAATGGCCAAACGAGCTCTGTATAAAGACAAAAGAAAAATACCATATGAAAAGAATGTTAAGATTATAATTTTGGGCCACCAGATTTGCAACACATGTATACAAGTGGATATAAGGTGTTGGTCTCAAAAAACGAAACGACGTGTGCATTCTAATGATTATCCTCGCCTGCGGATTTGCAACAAACTTATAAGCAGACAAAATGCAAGCAATAATGAACTGAAAGGTTAAATGGCAAGCACTCTTCAATGACAATGCATTCACGTGAAAAACTATTAAGCCAGCCCCCCTCACATATCTATAAATCTTGCAATCACATGGATGATTTTCAAACAAAGCGAAGTGGTCAAACCTGTTGCTCATCACAATTGTAGTGCATTGATAAACATATATGTTAATTACTAAAAAAGATGGCTCATACGATCTCGTAAACAACTAGTACACCTTGTGAAGAAACAATGCCTATTGTGAAAAGATAGTTTATGAATGAGACAAAGCAGTGCATTTAGTGTGTTTTAGGTTGCAGAGTCATTTTAACAGAATGAGCGGGACACTTAAAAATACTAAAAGAAATTTTATTAATGCATCTCATAAATGTATAGCACAAATATATTGAAAACATGAAAATGCACTATGTAAGTGCATTTTGTAAATGCACTGGATATCATTCAAACGTGCAAGTGTATAGCGTAAGTGCATAGTGAATCGTGCAAATACGTTGCACAAATACATCAAAAAGCTTGCACAACTCATCAAACTGATTAAATCATTCTACATGTGTGTGCTCCGACCAATACATTGAACTCCTAATTTTGAGGTCTGACAATATTGTGCGGGTTAAAAATGAAGAAAATCTAATCTCTTATGCTTTGTATATTATCACGCTATTATTTAAAAATCACTTTTTTTTTTTTAATAAAAAACACTTGTATGTGCTCCAACCAAATGGTTGAAATTTTAAATTTGAGATCTGAAAATACTGCACGAGTTAAAAACAACAACATCAAGCCTTTATCCCACTACGAGAGGTCGGCTACATTAATCATTTTTCTCCATTGTGTCTTGTTAAGAGTCAAATTCTCATTTAAATCTAAGAAAGAAATGTCATTTCTAATATTTTCTAACCAAGTCTTTTTAGGTCTACCTATACTTTTCTTAACAAGCCAAATCAAATACATCTACTCTCATAACCGGGTCATCTACCCTTATCTGCCACTGGAGCTACTCCAACCTTTTCACGTACATGCTCATTTCATATCTTGTCTCTAAGAGTACAACCACTCTTCCAACTGAGCATCATCATCTCTGCAACACTTAAACTTAATATTATGCTTCTTTTTTCATGGCCAACATTCTACGCCATAAAGCATTGTAAGTTTCACCACCATCTTATAGAATTTCCCTTAAGTTTGAGGGGTACTTTTCTATCACACGACAAGCCCGATCATTCCTCCACTTCAACCATCCAACTTGAGTTCTACTTAATAATATTCCCATCTATTTCACCATCACTCTGAACAATAGACCCAATATATCTAAAATGTGTACTTTGATTAATGACTTGATCGCCCAACATTACAATCCCCCACTAGATCTATTACTACTAAAATTACACTATATGTATTTAGTTTTAGATATACTCAAACAAACACCTCTAGACTCTAAGGTTGGCCTCCATAATTCAAGTTTACATTCAACTCCCGCTCTAGTCTTATCAACAAGAAAATATCATCAGCAAAAAAGCAACACCAGGGTACATCCTCTTGCAAATGTCTAGTAAGAACATCCATGACTAAAGCAAAAAGATATGAGCTTAAGAATGATCCTTGACGTAATCCAACATAAATAGGGAAATACTTGGTCAAACCACCTTGTGTTTGAACACAAGTAACAACTTTGCATACATATCCTTAATGACTTGATTTTTTTTTTTAAATTTTTTTATTTATCCTTAATGACTTGAATATAAGCATATTAACCCCCTTTTTTTTTCTAGAACTCTCAATAGCACTTCTCTTGCAACTTTATCATATATTTTCTCTAAATCAATAGATATCATATCTAGATCCTCCTTATTCTCTCTATACTTCTCCATCAAACCTCTCAATAAATATATAGCTTCCATAGTAGACGACCTACCCAGCATGAATCCAAATTGATTTTGAGAAACATTAGTATCTCATTGTAACCTATGCTCCATAAATCCCTCCAAAGTTTTAAAGTATGACACATTAACTAAATTCCTCTATAATTCACACAATCTTATGCATCACATTTATTCTTAAAAATGTGAATCAACACATTCATTCTTCGCTCATCTGACATCTTTTTAGTCTTTAAAATGATATAAAAAAGTTTAGTAAGCCAAAAAATTCCTTCATCTCCCAAGCATTTTTTACACATGTATTAGAATATCATTAGGTCCAACAATTTTTTGACACTTCATTTTCTTTAAAAAAAATATCTTTAACTTTGATTTTACTAATTTGCTCATAAAAAAATCTCTATTTTCATTTAAGGTGCAAAGGCTACTAAAGTCAATCGTATTCTCACAATTTTCATTGACAAACATAACAAAATATCTCATCCACCTTTGTTGAACATCCTCTTCCAATAAAAATACTTTTTGATCTTTATCCTTAATGCACTTCACTTGAACTAAATACTTACTACTCATATCTCTTTGTTTGACTAACTTATACATATATCCTCCGTATGTAATATATTATATAAATCATTAATAGCTAAATCTTAACATCGCATATATTACTTTCTTAGACTCCTTACAGACATCTTTAAATATTTCTCAATTTTCAAAGTTTTTATAAACTAATTTTTATATCAAAGTTTTTTATTTTTTTTATCTTTTCTTGCATATTTTAATTCCACCACCAATAATTTTTACTATTAGGAGCTTTTCCTTTTGATCCTACAAGCAATACTTTGCAATATTCTTAATATCACTAGCTATTTTTTTTCCACATAATATTAGTTTTCTCATGCACAGACAAAATCTTAAGATCTAGAATCTTACTTTCAAACATCTTTTTGTTAGTATTCTTTAAATGCTCTCATCTAATCTTATAACAATGTTTTACTTTATTTATCACATTTTATCATTTTATCTTAAAGTCCAAAATTAATAAGCAATGTTGGGTAACTATACTTTTACTCAGAATAACTTTACAATTTTTGTAATTTAAATAATTTATTTTTCTTATGAGAAAATAATCGATTTGAGTTTTACCATATGCGTTTTTTTTATCATAATCATTCTTATAAGTGATGAGATCCTCATCTCTTTTTTTAAATAAGTTGTTATCAATTACAAAATCATAAGCTATAGCAAAATCTAATATGGTCTTATCACCTTCATTAGTCACTCGACACTCATAGCCACCATGAATGTATAAATTAATTTGCCTGTAAGGGAACCTATATTTCAAGATCCTATCTTAATTTTAGATTCATGGATTTGCTTTTTTGGCCACATCCATCCATGATGTGAGAACCATTGCCTATTTAACACTGCACCCGAGCGCCAACGCAATGACCCTTGCATACTTCTCCCTGTATTTAGGCCATACTACAAGGGTTAAAAAAAAAAATTAAAGTTTATTCATTTAAAAAACACAAGTTTCAAATAGTGCACTACAAATTCCATTGTTGAGAATATGAACACACAACTATGAGAGACCAGCGCACAAATTTTTAGAGAGCCTACAAGTCCACATCAATATGCTCCTATAAATCACATGCTATTTCAAGTTCTATTCCCATGCAGCCTATTTAAACTTAGATTTGGTAGATGTGAGTATGTCAGTTAATCAGTACCAAGAAGGAAAGTCCGATTCATGAGAACAGGTGTGTAAGAAAAATTTTCAGTAGTCATCATCTCCTTAAAATTTTGATAACTGATATTATCTCATTTAACACAACATTCAAGGAAATATGACATTAGGAAAAACCTGACTACATAAAATGCAATCAGATAAAAATGATCAGGGTGTTGAGAGCTATTTCTCTCAAAACAACAACGCCTAGTCATATTTCTTTCGATCCTTAAGGTAACTAGGAAAAAGAGCATTACCTAAGAAAAGTGCGGATGGTTTTCCAGGCCTTGACTTGAATTCTGGATGGAACTGGACCCCAACATAGAAAGGATGGGATGAAAGCTCCAGTATCTGTACATGTTTTATAAGAGTTAAAATAGAAGCCCTTAAAAATTTAAATGTAAATTCGGGAGGTGCAGGAATACCTCCATCCGTCCACCGTCTTCGTCCTTGCCAACAAAAGCAAGACCAGATCTTTCAAGTTGCATAACCATTTCAGGATTGACCTGCAGTTCAAATTAATATATTGATTTATCAAAACAAGTTGCCATACAAGAGTTCCTATAAAGCATGGATTGGCATTGTGCGATTACAATGCTCTGTTCTTGATTTTTGAATCCACCATAACAAAAACTTCCACACAAATGCAAACGCACATACAACAAGCAAACATAATGGAACCAACCTCATATCTATGCCTGTGTCTTTCATCAACAAATTTCACATTCCCATATCTGGTAATTGAATTAAAATGCATAGATGTATCAGAACTTATTCAAGAATCAATAGAAAGTAAAGGACAAGCAAACTTATTGATAGTGCAGAAGATGAGGGGATTCAATGATCTCACAGTTTGGCAGATTTGCAATTTTTAACCTGGAAGTAAGTCCTTCTAGAGCCAAGCCTCATTGTGCCACCCATATGTGTTGCTGAAACCTACAAAAGAGCAATCAACAGTGAAAGGTGGAAACAAAGCATTAATAATTAAGAAGAATGATAATTAAAGTACATATACCTCTGGCATAAATATGACGCATGGGTTCTTTGTGTTAGGATCAAACTCTGTACTATTAGCATCTCTCAAATTCATGACATGGCGAGAAAATTCAATCACAGAAATTTGCATGCCAAGGCAGATTCCTAGATACGGTATGTTGTTTTCTCGGGCATACTTAGCCGCAAGAATTTTCCCTTCGACACCCCTATCTCCAAAACCTCCAGGAACTAGTACACCATCTGCACACTAAGTTGGAATTTTGTTCAGATTACGAAATACTGAAGTGTGATAATATGTAGCCAAGAGGATCAATTAAAATAAGGATTCAGGTAATTGAAACAGAAAGATAGCTGAGATTCCTCACTAACCTTAAGAAGGTTCCATGCCTTTTTATGAACATCAGGCTCCTGAACAAAGGCATCAAAAATGATAAGCAAGAATATTTAAAAAGTGAAACCAAACGGAGATAACGATCAATTAGCAAACCTCTTTTGCAGTTGCGTCTTCAAGGTCAGAGGCAGGCACCCAATCTACTACAAGTTTCCTACGGCAGGTTACAGAAGCATGAAGCAGAGCCTACATATAGATTGACGATAAGAGTCAAACAAAAGTTGGTAGTGTTTAGATTGCTTACGTGAGATCAATATGAACTACAAGTTTACATGTATGTTGGGTTATACTAGAACATATTGCTTTATTGCAATCAACAATCAAAAACAAAACAAGAAACAGCCAAAGACGGCCTGTCGGCCACTAAGAAAGAAACGAACCAAACAAGTAATCTTCCTCAAGAATATCAAGAAATTCTTGAGGCAAATACAAAGAATTTCCATGTATGTTGGGTTATACACAATTAGTCAGTAAACCATACATAGTTCTGACTGCCAAAATAGCAATAAAATAAATACGTGTGGTCAGTTATGAGTAATAATGAGGAAAAACAAGAAAAAAGACGTCATTTATACAACTTTTATAAAATACTCAAAGTTTAACAAGTTATATTTGCTTTTAAGGTTTAAAAAGGTGAAATTTGAAATCGAAGCATTTTGCGTTAGTGAGGCGGGGCGTAAGCCTCAAAACAAAAAAAATAAAAAACCTTCTTTAATTATAACATTTTTTTTTAATTCCCTATATTAATTAGCATTAGATTCAATGTAACATAAAATAAAGCAACAAATTAATAACACAACAAAGTAATCCATTATATTTAAATCATCATTTGATATTTTTTTAAGCTTGAACTCTACTTTGCTACTTTCTTTAAATTGATTATGAAGTATAAGTTATTATTAATTCAATAGTCATTTTAATATTAGCATTGATATCTTCATTCTCCTCATCATCAAATACATTTCTACATTTTTAATTTAAAATCTTTCACTATTTTTTGCCATTATTCATTCATCATTATAGAGCTGTCAATATTGGACCCCACCTGAAAACCCGACCCGAAAATTTCGAGTTTGGGTTGACCCGAACCCGAAGCGGGTCGGGTTCGGGTCCGGAAAACCGACCCGTTTGCAAAACCGGGTCGGGTTCGTGTTGACCCGGAAACCCGGGAACGACCCGAATTGACCTGGAATAACACAAACCTGAACCCGCGTCGCATAAGTCATCTTCAAATCGCCGTCGCGCAGTCGAGCGAGCCCCGCGTCCCGCACTTGTGCCGCAGGCTCGCGTGCGACCGCTGCCGGCTGCCTACGTCGCTCACTCGTGCCCTAACGGCTGACCACGATCGCTGCCGGCGCTGCCCCGTTGCCGAGTCACCCCACTGCCCCGCTGTCGCGCCCGCGCACGACCGCTACGGCGCTGCCGCTATAGCTGGCTGTCCGCTTCCACGGCTGAAACAAGAGGGTTCGGGTCCAGAAAATCAACCCGTTTGCAACGGGTCTGGTCAACCCGAACCCGAATAGTGTCGGGTCAATTTCGGATTTGACCCGAACTCTACCTGTGACGCGAAATTGACACCCCTACATCATTAGATAATATATCATTAACAAACCAAAAGATTTATTTCATCATCACCAATTATTCTCCTCTATAATTTGAAGTGTTTATCTTTCAAATTTTTATCAAACATAATAAAACCATTCAACCTTGCTCATTCGTACTATGGCTAACTACCTCTTTTTATTTGTATAATAGAATTAAAATTATATATATCATTGATAATAATATATAATAAAAAAATTATAAACTTAACTAGAATGAGGCGTTGCCTCAAAACGCCACGAGGCGTACACCTCATTTAAAAAAGACATAAGCCTCTCTAGAACTAGTGAGGCTTAAGCTTCAAGGCCCTCATTGTGCACCTCAGTTCGAGGCACACCTCGATGCATACACCTCGAACGATTTTTTAAATCATTGCTCTCACAGCTAATCATGCTGCGTCGTTATTGCGGACAGGAAATGCATGCAAAAGGTAATATGCTTAATATTTTCAAAAAGGACCACCTGAAAATTCAATTTAAACAAAGACTAACAACAATAAAAAATCAATAGTGAGCATCTAAAAGCTACCAGGAAATCTACCAAAATTCTGTAACGTTAACTGCTTAACGGTGAATTTAACCACGAAGTATTCGCTAATGAGATTTGCAACAATATAATGTACGAACCATGTCCCATATCATCTATGAAACATCTTCAACTTGCAATAATGAGAAAAAATGGTGTGGAATATGGTACCTTTTGATTCTAGCATTTCCTATCTATCTATTTTCTAAGTAGAACATTAAAATCTGAAAGTCAAAGAATGAAGATTAAAAAATACCGTTATAATCAACATCAGCGAAACCTCAACTATTGAAGCTGAATTTATTAATACTATACTTCTATGTCATGGAGGATAAGACTGCCTATATCAATACCCCAAAAGATCTTGGGTATTATCTTCAAGTAAACCAAACATATGCACTTTTTATTATAATACGAATGTTATGTCGAGATTATAGTGTTCTTATAATACTTGGTGATAGCTTTAGTCCTTACTAAGAATTTGAAAAAGAAATATCCTAGAGTATTGCTAAGCATGAATAGTTGCCCTTGCTCATAGTAAATGTGAGGATTCTTTTCCCCAGTGAAGTAAAATAGTGCGATTGTTTCTCTACTAGCTTGCAAACGAAGGATTGAGCTTTTAGTTGCAAATATGTGCAAGTTGCATCTGAATGGAAAGTTGGAAATATGTGCAAATGTGCGATAGGATTAGATTAGGTTTTAATATTAAATCCTTTTTAATAAAAAATAATAATTTCCATGTTGAGGCATAAACCTCAAGCCGAACAGGCAAGGCACGATTCAAGTCACGCCTTAGCCAAACTAAAGCTTATGAATCCAAATAACAACTCAAGGCACGCCTTAGACAAACTAAAGACTTACCTTACCATATATGAATCCTCAAAATTTTTTTATATGAAATCATACGATGCTTCATATGAGCAGTATTAATAAAGACTAACCTTCAATCATCCTACATCATCTGACACTTCGGACAACAGTCAACAAAAATGAAAGGAGAGTAAGTATTCATAAAGCCAACTAAAATAAATTAGGATAAACTTAATGATGATAACGACTATAAGCAATCAGACTCAACACTATATATGTATGCACCTTCTATGGCTAATTGATTGAATACAACATACAAACCATTATTAGAGAGGAAAACTTTTTCATCTTGGCATAATGCTTAAAAGATAACCTTTATGTTGTTTTTACTTTCTCATACAATTTCCAGAAAATATACACAAGTGAACAAAGTGGAGGTAACATGTTTTAATCCCTACATTGCAAGGTAAGTTTTGATGGATTTGAGGAAGCATTGTTATATTGAAAGTATAGTTGATATATATATATAAAGATTGGTTGTAAGATCACCTTTAGAACGGAGAGGTATGAGTCAGAAAGACCGGTATATTTACCAACCATGGCAATTCTTACCTGAAATATATTGTATATTAGAACTTAGAAGATGAAAAAAGGTCCATTACAATGATGGTGCTTATAAAAAATCTCGTCAGTGCAACCCACAGGATCGCTCAAAGCATCATAGATTCTAGCCCTAGCAGTCCACTCATCCAACATGGGTTCTTTTGCAACTCTGCATTAGAACCAGTTAATTTGAATGAATTTCTTTGTGATACACTTCATATGGTAGTACTAAATAATTAAATAATTAACTCATAAGGTCAAGCAATCAGACCCTTGTAGGTTTAGTGCTTTCAAGATGGCCTCATGCCCCTTCTGGTCCTGTAGAAACACAAACTATCATGTTCTAGACAGGGTGGGGTTCTATTCTAAGCAGGGTTGCCCTGCTCTGTAAGAAGCACTGTCAATAAAAGAAATAAAAATAAATTTATTGAAATCCAATGTTGTAATGAGGCAACCTACCCTCAGGAGTAAGGGAACATGCCAAATGTTTGGAACATCATAAAGAGTCAAAATATTTGAAGCCTGGAAAATCACTTATATCAATCATCAAAGGTAAAAATTAAGCTACTGCAGCTTGTGGAAACAATGCACATAAATTAACTGTTGAAATTTTAAACTTAAGATACGGACCGGCACATGGCAAAATTGCGTAAGCTTTTCCTTAACATTGTCTTCCAAAGGCTGTCCAAGAAGTGCCAGCACAAATTAACAAAATAAGATGATTACATGTGACCTAAAAGATAATAAAAGGGCAAAAGAGAGACCAAAACACTACGGCAAGCAAGAATATTTGGTGTCAAACCAAGCCCTCTTAGTCCCCGAACGCTATGCTGAGTTGGCTTAGTTTTCTGCAAGTAAGAGGACAATAATACTATAAATTTGAGCAAGTTTCAGCAACCATGTCAAGGTTGATGGTCAGTTATTTGCAGTAGAAAATTGTAACTGGAAACAGATAAAATCAGGAAAAGTTATAAACCTGTTCACCAACTACATTTAGAACTGGTACAAGGCTGACATGGATAAGACAGAAGTTTCCAGGACCTGGTGTAAAACCACATTGAGAGCTAAGATCAATAAAAGTCTGATGAGTAATGCTAATCGAAACTAAAGTTAAAATATCAAACAACTTTCAGGAAAGCATCTATATAGATTTCTCACCTACACGATAGGAAAATTGACCAAGTGCTTCAATAAATGGCATGGATTCAATATCTCCTGCATCAAGAAACAAAAAAGATGATTTTTTCCTTCGTTTCTTGCTTGGAATACTATAGAGGATATTGCAGACAATGTAAACACAGACAAAGGCACGTAAGGATCACACCACTATGATTCTTTGTTCGGTAATATCAACAAAAATTTCAAAACATATTATCACCTATGGTTCCACCCAGTTCTATAACACATACATCAGCTGGTCCTTCATTTCCATCAACAGGAATAATTGCTACCCGTTCAATCCACTCTTGTATAGCATCTGTGATGTGCGGTACAACCTAAGAGCAACATGAGTTTTAGAGCCATCATGAAAATAATAAGTGTTACCCATAAAAATCATATAACAACAATTGATGATAGGCAATAAGGCAAGTGTTTCTCACCTGAACAGTTTTCCCCAAATAATCTCCCTTTCTCTCCTTGTTAATAACAAACTAATCAACCATAGTATTAAGAAAATAGAATAAGGATTCATATCTTAATTAAGTATATTATGCCTTAGTAAAAAGCAAATAGAACGGCTCAAAAAAGCTTAAAAGAAATATCCAACCTGGTAAATCTTTCCAGTAGTAATGTTGTTATCGCGAGTCAGCTTGATATCCAGGAATCTTTCATAGTTACCAAGATCCAAATCCACCTTCCAAATGAAATGAAATGAAAATTATTAAGATCACATGGAAATGGCAATGTGAATGTCAAAGTTTACAAGCGTCATTAAATATAAAATGTTTGTATTAAGCCAATTAGCCTAAAAGTTGAACATTTATTTGAATCCCACTAACTTCTATCTATTTTCCTTTTTAATTGGTTTTTGCGTTATTATATGTAGATGCCTAGGATATCATCGTATCATGAAAATTTCATTAGAATTTGAATCTCAACCTGTGGGCTCCGAAAATTTGAGCTTTAGGGGCCTCGGCCTCTCCGCATTATATTCGGGGAGGGTTTTAACAGATTAAATTCCGGGAAAATTTTTCGGAAGGCAGATTAGATAGAGATAAGGCACTAACCAGAAATTTCGCCCACTTAACGAGAACTTTAAGATCTGAGTTCTAGTTTCCTATAAGTGCAAGCCACTATAATTAATTACTCCTCGCAATAACGAGAGAGAACTTTTAATTAAGGCTAGTCGTTGAACATATGCGTAGTATCCAACGTATACTAGCAGCAATTCTAGATGTAAAATTTAATATTTAAATTTAAAAATTCACCACCTTGCACTTAAGCATATGGTGAGGAAAATAATGATGAACCCGATCAAAACCCCATAGTTCTGTCATCCTAGGTCATCATGGTCCCTAGTTTGCTTAGTTAAAGGAGATAGTCGACCAAACCTAATGGAAGGACCCTTGTCCGCAGCTATTGCTTTGTACAAGGGTAACTTGTAAACTTTGGGTGAGTGTTTGTCTAAGGGACAAATTCAAGTCAACTTTAACTAATATAGAACTTTGTGCCCTATCGATTATACCATATAATTCATTACTTAATGGAAAGTAGCCATTTGGAAAAATACGAGCCTCTAACCATGACAATAAGATAGTTAGAGGGATGCAGTAATAATCGTTTACTACATGGAGCCATATTGGCCAAACCACCGATTAGAGAACCAGTCATAACCATACCACGTAGAGCCGTTTGGCAATGCCATCGATTAGAGGAAATGCCACATCCTTACTGGAAGGATATTACTTGAGATTGAATTTGAATGATATTTTTGACTGGACATTTACTTTTTGTGAGTTATCATTGAGTTCATCGCCCTCACCAAATGGTTGCGGAGGGTGGATGAAGTTTGCTTTAAATTTTAGATAACTAATTTTTAATTTTAAATATTAGTATTCTTAATAAATATAGAGCTTTAGAGTTTTGGTAGAATTAAAAAATTAAACCCTCAAGTTGATATTAACTTTCAACACGTCCATCATCAGGGATTAAAGTATTTAGTTATTTGAGAACCTTATCAACTCTATTCATTCATTAACAGAGGATCGGGTTTTATTATTGACCTCATGAGTTATCATAAAAATGCTAATAATCGAGAATTTATATCTTTATGATAAGCTTTATTTAAAGAGCCTTTGAAGGCTTAATGTGAATTTTAATATGCTAGATATGTGATTAGTTGTTCATTTGTTCATCTAAAACATGTCGATTCCAGTCTTTTCGAGGAGGAGGATGAATCTTGAATATTTGACCCGCACAACATTCTCGAACCTTGAATTTAAGAGTTCAAATCAACGGTCGGAGCATATGCAGATATTTAGTTTGAAAATTGAATTTCATCTTAGTGAGCATTTAAACCCATACAACATTTTCAAATATTGGTGTTTGCAAATTTAGCATGCTTGTTGGAGCATCCGCGGGTAATAAAAATATTCTTTTAAATTAACATGCATGTTTTTTAATATTATGGAATGCTTTTCAAGGCGATAGAAATCTTCTCAGAGCTGTTGCATTCTTCTAGAGGCTGTTGCACACTTTTAGAGGCAATATGATGTATAACGGGTATGGAAAAAAGGGGACATTTGAAATTTGAATTTCTTGCTTTAATTGAGATCAAAATATTATGAATAATTAAATCAAATCAAATCCAATTAGAAACCTAATTAGATTTAATTTAAGTAACTTTCCTAAAATGGGCTATCTTAAATTAGGATAGCATTTCAAATTCAAAATTACTTAGAATTTGAAATCAAATATTTTCCTAACTTAAATCATTTGATAAAAGGAAAGTAATCAAAGGGGAATTCAAATTTTGGGGGCAAAAGAGGAATAAGTGGATTAATTTACTTCCAATTGGAGAGGTTCTCTATTAGAAAGGACTATGGATAAATTCGGTCAAAGGAGGTGGGAGAGATTTGAATTGTTTCCAAAGTGGAGTGGAGAGTTTTAGGAAACAATTCCTAATCTCATTCATGAGGGGAGGGGGGCTATAGAGAGGGAGGGAGGAATTAATGAGGCATTTAATGCCTACTTAAATTAATAAACTAAGTTTGGAAAGAAATATTTCCTCCCTTCTTAATTAAAAATTTAAATAGAAATTGTTTTAGTAAGTTTCCTAAAATAGGATTTTGTAAATTAAGGAACTCTTTCAAATTCAAATTAATTTGAATTTGATCATAAAGAGAGTTACCAAAATTATGAAATCTATTTTAGGAAGGTTATGGATCACGTGAAGAAGGGGGAGGAGGCAAGGGTGGCCGGCGGTGAAGGGGTGGCCGTGGATGAAGTAGGAGGTTGGGGAAACTGTATGGCCGACGGTCAAGGGAGGAGAAGAAAAGAATTTAGGGAAAGAAAGATACAACCACGAGCCCGGACACATCCTACAACTGACGGATATTACGTTGCCCTTCACCAAGGGACTTCAGGCCACGAGCCCAGACCCATCCTGCGGCTGGTGGAAGATATGAATTCCTCCCATAGGAATCTCACCCAAGTTCTCTCCAAAGAACACAAGTGCAAATAAAATTTCTTTTCTTAATAATTCATCATTACATTACACAATCAAGGGCCTCTATGTATAGGCCTAAGAAACTAAAATAAGACACATATGCCCTAGGGCTTACATAGGACAACCCTCTTAAGCAAGGGTAAAAAGAGAAAATTCATAATAAAAATTACAAATAACAAATTAAGATAAGGTGGAATGATCTCGGCCCGACGATCGTCATCACCTTCATTGAAAATCTTTATGATCGGATGTCCGCATCACAATATGCATATGTTTAAGAATTTATGTTTTAGTGCATGAGAGGGATTTTAAAAATATTTAAATTTTATAATTTGTGCAGGTGATTATCATTGGAGTATGCACAAGATTTCATTTAGGGGTCTACAAACGCCTTCTGTCCACTCACACGAGTGTTGGAGATCTGGTGGTGTGAAGGTGAATTAGGTTTTAGCTGCTGTATATAGGAGATATATTGTTTAGTTCATGTGTTAGACCGGTCCAATGGACCGGTCCAGCCGGTCCACGCGGGACCGGCCTAGCTACACGAGGCAGAAGTTCCGCCTCCCGCACGCCCGCCGAGATCAAACATGGCCAAATAGGAAGGTTTTTGAATGGATTTTAGGAGGGAAATTGATTGTAGGGACTGTTTAGGGAATTCCTTTTGATTTGTATGCATTAAATAGTTGATTTTTCTAGGGTTTGAGTATCTTGAATTTGATAGAAATTTGAGATCTCTTAGATTTAGGTTTTCTTTGGGCTCTAGCGGCATCTAGAGATTTGGGAGAGATCGATTCTCCTCTCGAATTGGGGGTCAATTGTATCTTTTCTATTTTGTTGCATCTCCTAGTGGAATACAAGTTTCTACTTTCAATTTTCTCTCAATTTTCCCTAAACTGCGCTGATTTCCTGCTGTCAACAGCAGAATTTTGCTGTTTCCTTGTTACAAACAGCAGTTTCTCTGTTGTTTGCTTACCGATTTTGGTTAGGATTACTTGCGAACTCAAGTATTTCCTATCAAATTGGTATCAGGGCATCGTTTTTGGGACCGTTGGCAGCTGAAATCCTGAAAATTTCAGCAGTTTCTTCGTTCCCGGAATAAAATCGTTGAGATTCTTTGGAAGAACGATGGTCGGGAAGAAGGTAGAAGTCTTGGAAGGCGAAATCGAACAATTGAAATCCGATTTGGAGGGAAGAATTTTCGATTTCCAAAATCAAATCACATCCAACAAGGAAAGGATGGAGGGGAAGTTCGCCGTGTTGGAAGAAATGATGAAGAAATTACTTGAAATGAAGACCAATCCGGCGACATCGGAAGTAAGAGAGACCATCGACGGCCATGGTATGGGAGGAAATCCGAACCCGTTGCGGGGGAGGAGGAATTCAGAGGTAGAGATCCTGGAGGAGGAGAACGACGTGCCCCCTTTGGAACCGCTTTCTAGAGAAGAGATGAGTAGGGGACACGACAAACGGGAGGCTGATTTTGTCGGAAGAAGAGAAGAATTTCATCGCTCAGGTGCTTAATTTGAAAGAATCCAGTGTCGAGGTGCTGATTTTGAAGGGCGAAGAGAGGAATTCCATCGCCGAGGTGCTGAATTCGAAAGAATTCAGCGTCGAGGGGCTGATTTTGAAGGAAGAAGGGAGGAATTTAATCACCAAGGTGCTGAATTCGAAAGAATTCAGCGTCGAGGGGCTGATTTTAAAGGAAGAAGGGAGGAACTTCATCGTCGAGGTGCTGAATTTGAAGGAATTCAGCATCAGCGTTGAGGTGATGATTTAGAAGGAAGAAGGGGAGAGTATGAAGAGAGATTCGAGTATAATCGTCGGAGGGATGATCGGGACACTTGGGGAGCTCTTCTTCTTCGAGGAATGGGAGGTTATGGAGGAGTCAGGGGAAACGGAAGAGATCCAAAAGTGAGGAAGTTGAAGATGCCCATCTTTGAGGGTGAGGATGGTTATGGGTGGATTTATAAGGTGGAGCGATATTTTGCTGTCAATGGGCTGACGGAGGAGAAGAAATTGACAGCGGCGGGAATGTGCTTAGAGGGAAAAGCCTTAGCCTGGTATCAGTGGCGTGACAGACGAGAGCCTATCCGGAGCGGGCAGGAGTTCAAAGAATGCTTATTAGAGCGTTTCCGAGCAGATGAGGGAGGAGATTTCTATGAGCAATTCTTTGCCCTTAACCAGGAAGGCACGGTGACAGATTACCGGAAAAGGTTCGAGTATCTTGCTAGTAGGTTGGACCATATCTCGGAGTCAGCCCTGGAAGGAAATTTCATGAAGGGGCTGAAACCAGAGGGAAGAACAGCAGTCAGAGTGTTGGAGCCAAGAAATCTAGGTAAGGTCATGGAGTTAGCCCAGTTGGTGGAAGACCAGAAGAAGTCTGAAAGAGGAGCTCGAGTAAACTGCTCAGGAGGTTCTTACAGAACGACGACTACTTGTCTAGCACCAAAGGGGCCTGCATCAAGCAACATTAATGAGACCACCCGGGAGAAGCCAATAGGAGGAGGGAGTGGGGAAAATTTCAAGAGGCTGACAGAGAAGGAGATGCAGGATAAGAGGACAAAGGGGTTGTGCTTCAGATGTGATGAGAAGTACATGCCAGGGCATAGGTGCAAGGACCGAACTCTTCAGGTTCTCCTTGTCTGTGATGATGAAGAAGACAAGGAGGGTGATGGGATCAGATCTGGAGAGGAGGAGAAGTTGCACCTGGATGTGGCAGAAGTCTCTCTGAACTCTGTAGTGGGATTCACTCCGAGCATACTATGAAAGTGAAAGGAGAGATAGCTGGCCGTGAGGTGGTGGTGCTAATTGATAGTGGGGCTACCCACAATT